AACTGCACTCAAATTTGCTGTTTCAGTGAAATATGCTGCTGTTTTAATTTCCAATAAATATTTAAATATATTTCGATCGAATATAACATATATGAGTGAAACATCATTTGAGCAATTTTTATATGTTTGCTTCTCAAACGACTCCATGACAATTGGATCGAAAGGATTAACATATGGTATTTTACAGTGTGTCGTATTTACAAAGTACTTTGGCTTAGCTGACAGTGCGAATGGAGTAGTCTGTTGGGTTGGGTAATTTTGACTACTATTTTTACTTTTAAGTTCATTTATTTTGTCACTGTTCACATTATTTATAGAACTGTTAAATTGAAAATTTTTTAAATGCATCCAATTTTGTTCGCTTTGACCATAGTAACCAAAACTGTTCCAGTCCAAAAATTTATATATGAACACGGTAAAAAAAAATATTAATAAAATTATTTTTCTGTAATTCTTTTCACGGTCTTCAGCAGAATTGCCGTTTTCTGTTTGATCGATGAGTTTGTACTTCACAGTTGACATGTTCGAGTTGCGATTATTCATTTTTGAAATGCAATACACTTTTAATTTGCCATTAATTTTTAGTTTTCACCAAACTACCGTATTTACCAACGTGACCCTTTGATTCAAATGCTTTTTAATGTTTACTTTATTTATTTATATACATTTTACTCTAAATATTTTAAAACTTTTAAATAGTTCTTATATATTAATAAATGCTTCTTATGCACGTACGTAATTGAAGTTTACTCAACTTTATCAGTTCATATACCAAAAAAGCAATATATTTTATGTGCTGTTTTATTTTGCGACCATTAATTTATTAACTATCTTACTAGATAGGTAGATGGTAAGTTAGTATGGTTGTTGAACTCTAAAATTGGCAGTTGGCGGACTTAGGTCAAATTGACCCGTAGTTATACCAAACAAAGGGTTCAATTTTCTTCGTTCGTAACTTTCTCCTTATATGAAATCTTAGTAGATTTTCTTCATCTGATAATAATTTAACACGAGTATTTAATGGTTTCTTCTTCCCTCTTAACAGCAATGCTTTCTTATTAGTCATGGCATATAATACTCATTCTCGTCTACCGAAGAATGTCGACAATGTCTGGTGATGACTCGCTAAAATTTGATATAACATTCTTCGGATTGAAAGCTGTGTGTCCCAAATAATTATTTTATGTGAACATGTAAATACACATCATTTCCCATTACAATAAAAGAGATGATATATAAGTATTTGTAACATCAGCAAACGATTTTTTGGTTTCTTCTTATAGCATAACCATTGGTCATAGATAATAATCAGTTAAAACTTTTTCAAATCCCGTTTTTAGATATTCAAATATATTTAACAATGCTTCATCTTTGGTATATGCGCTCCGATATACATAGTTTTTAAAATACCTACAAATGAAGTCATCAAAACTTCTGAAAAGATTCATTTATTTTTGATGTCTCTTCATCCATATCAGCCTTAACAGCCTTCAAGTTTTGATATGTATTGTTTCTAATCTGTATAGTGATTTGTATTGGCCCGCGGAACGATACACTAAGTAGAATGTCTTGTTTGCAAAGTACGAACGTTTATAGAAAAGTATGTATATATATGTACTTTTGTAATGTGAACACATGTGTATATGTACATATAGGAATATCTGCACAGTAATGAAAATTATGTTGAGTATAAGAGTATGAGAAAATTAAATATTATTGATAATATCTGGGTTTCAATCTGTCGAGTTAAGTTAGTCTTGCTGGTTCTAGCAGAATTGATCCTTAGTGATATCAGATAAAGTTGTATTTGCAGCATCTAATATTAAAGTTAAAGATGGGGCAATAGTCAAAATCTTATATTGTATTTAAAATTATATAAAAATAAATTTTTCTTAATAAAAACCTTTATACATATTTCGCAAACGTGATATTTAAACAATTCATACTAGTAAATAATACCGACAGTACATTTATAATTGTTGCCAGTACGAAGTTAGAGTTCCAAATTTTTATAAAGTCTGCAGATATGGGTTTTACGAAATTGAGGTCCTGTGTCTGCGAGCGTGATAACTTATAAACAAAAAAAATATTAAATAAAACAAAATAATACATTAACAAAATAACTATTTATTGAAATGACCAATAATTAATAATAATTAATTAAATTAGCTAGTGCACTTAAGCACTTATATTCTTTTTTAATTCGAGGAATTTTCAAAACCCTTCTTTACACCTTGACTAGATTATTGTTTATTACTTCATCAGACTAAGCAGTAATTGTCCTCAGATCTGCATTCGTCCCCGAGAAGCCTGTAACTATTTTGAGATTTGATAACGCGGTGTTGGTAAATCTGTCAGTTTTCGGAAATAATTTCAGGGCTCTATCTTTTATGTACTTTTTGATGGGATCAATCTTGATGTTCCTAAGGATGTCATTCGTTCTAATATACCATGGAACTTTAAAAAGTTTTCTTAGTTGATTAAAATTTTAAAAACTCTTTGATATTAAGGATATTTATAATAAGTCACTATTTTATTTTATTTTTTTTTGACAACTTAGACAGAGAAAGTAGTGTTCATTTAAGCAACTATAGGCCAGCGACTTATTGTTTTTTGCCACACTTGCGAGCTGCCGAAAGCACCTAATATTAAAAGATATAATAGTGAATTTTAATGTTAAAAACTATGTATAATTGGCAGTTTTAAGTCGATTTCGCAATTCATATTTAAGTTAGATTTATGACTTGGGTTATGACTGTGGAAACGGCCCTTAATCACACTTAAGCTTGAAGTAATTAACTAACCAATAAATTATTGTATAATTTCTTATCGCATTTTATAGATAACAGGAAGTAAAATATCAGATACTTTATCAGCTTAAAATTAACAAAAGTTATTTTAAGTGGTAAATATAACTATTAAAATGTACTTATCTGATAACTAATTGTAAAACTACTATGTCGGTTTAAATTACTAGACTAATTTCAACACATTTTTAAATATCTTGTATTATTTAGTTTAGATTACACATTTAATAAAAATATCTATTGCAAAATATTTCGTAATTACAAAGTAATGGATAATGTGCATCGATTAATGGAAAATCCATGTCCCAGTGTTAATTGACGATTAAATTAAAATTAATGACTTAATTAAGCAATAGCAATTAATTTATTTTTTTTCATATTTTATATATTATTGGGCGATATCGCATAACTTATTTTCAAATCAGTAGCGATTCAGTTGATTATTTTTAACTAAAACTGTGTAAAATTTTATTGTTAAATATAGTGGAAGTACTAAGAAATCCGTTTGATACTCTTTCTAATATTTTTAATACTTTTAATTTATATATTAATTTGATATAGCGCCCAAATTTTTATTACTCAATAACCAATCTGAATCAATCTAAAGAATTTCTCAACATAATTTAAAGATACATTTTTGCATAACCAGCTGAAGTGTGAAGTCACTTAGAAAAAACTGCAATTATATCTGATCTACAGTTTACAGCAGAGAACGGCAAGCATTGACTATTGTATATTATCTGCGTAGATACTTGACTTTAACTCTACTCATAGTGCTATGGTTGCGTTTTGTTAACCTCAAAGCAGAAATACATTCCATCGTAAACGTATACACTCATATCTGAAAAATGCCTTCAGA